AGAAAATGGCCGTGTTTGATAAACTACGCTAGGGGCACACCAAGAAATATATCTTAAATTGCACCCTAAAGAGATGCACCGGTATTTTCATAGTTTACACTAACATAAAATGCTAGTGTAATAAAAAAAATCTGCACTGACATTTTGTGTCATTCTAAATCATTACACTAGCATTATATTAGCATAAAATGTGGTGCATTTAGTTGGGTACAAAGTGATGTATAATGTTTGGGGTACAATTGTACAAATAGCTTAATTCATGTTTAATATCAAGTGTTTTAAAAATGTGTACAAGCTATCATTATCTATGATCCACAAGGAGTCAACTTTTGTGCTTTTTTGTAAAATACTCTCTCCATCCATAAATAAGGTTTCTATTACGCGTTACGGTGTTTGACTAGAGTAATTTTCAAATAATTTTATATGAAAATAATATGAAATTAAAAATTAAAAATTACATATTAAAAGACTACATGAAAATATTTGTAAAACTAGAGGTGACATGAGTATAATATTTTATCAAATAAGACACGAAAATAGGTCAACAAAGTTAATAAAGTTTGACCATGTGAATAGTAAATAGAAGCTTGATTTTGGACGGAGGGAGTATTAAACGTGCAAATTTAATACTCCCTCCGTTCCAAATAAACAGTTAATATTTCGATCTCTCGATAACTTTTGTTTGTTTACTTGTTTTGGTTGACTATTTGATAAAATATTATATTTTTGTTATATTTTATTTTGTAGAACTTTTGATATATTTTTGAACAATGTAATTTTTAATTTTTATTTTTCTACCAATTTATAAATAAAATTATTTAAAAAAAATGATATTGTACATGTTATTCGAAATGTGGATTACAATTTAGGACGGAAGGATTAGGCTTCTAAATTTGTGTTTAAAATGGGTGGGCGAGTTGAGTTTATGGAGGTCCACAACTTGATATTGTTAGTTACTCCGTAATTGCCATCAAGTAGAGTCGTAGTCATTCAAAATATGATTTGATGTTAGAAATGAAAAAAATTGGATATGAATTGTACGGGGTGAAAACAACCCATTTATTTGGACAAGTATGCATGTAGGTGATGTAGGTATAACCCATGTCAAAAAGTTTTATTTTTAGTATAGTCAAATTTTCAGTATACTCAAAGTTAAAAAACTATGGTGTATATTTAAGGAAGAATTCCATAAATAGAAATACTCCATCCGTTCATGACGGTATAAATTACCTAATCGGGTAAACAGTACTAGACCGGGTAAAGGATTGTTTAATGGATTCAAGATAGTAAAAGGTAAAAACACATAAGTTAACCGGGAGGACTGTAGGTGGAAATACTTGTAGCTCAATTGTTATTCGAATATAGTAAAGTGCATGAGAGCTTTTACATAGGGATTTCAGTGATCAGAAATCGGATCCCTCCCTTTGAGGGTTACATAGGTATTTATAGTAAGCTAGAGGAGACAGGGCGCCGCACACCCACGTCAGACCATGTTTCATGGTGGTGCGAGGTGATTTTCTCTTTCTCCTAGTGGCTTGTCTTCTAGTTAGGAAGGTAACTCTCTTGTCACGCAGCGTTTTGGACGGATTGCTCGAATATTTCTAATGATTCTTTGTTGAATTTGTCCGCTACAGTCCAATTTTCTTTGGATTCTTTCTTGCCGACATTTTCCAACCCTAGAAATAATACCGGGTAGATTCCCAATGGATGGGTTTATTGGAATTGGGGTCGAATGATGAAATAAAGTATTTTGACAATTAGACTATCTGAAGTGTACTCGTCAACTTTTGGTCAACCGAATACCTCTTACTGTTGTTTTAGGCTTCCCATCCCAAAAAAACAACCTTGACCGGTAAATTATTTGAAAGCCTTCTTTTGACCGGTTTTGGGTGGACTACACCCTTCAGTCCCCAATTTGATTGCAATTTTTCTCTCTTCTCGATAACTTTTGTTTGTTTATGCGATTTCATTATGTATTTGACAAAATAAAATATTCTTGTCATCACCTCTTTTTTTGTAGAACATTTGACGTAGTTTCAATATATAAATTTTATTTCTTATCGATATACCGAATTGTAAATAAAATGATTTCAAAAATTGAGATATTTCTCCTCGTAAACCCTAATTTGTAATCAAATTGGGGACGGATGGAGTAAAAATTATGAAAATAGTCCAAAAGTACTAAAATATGAGTCATAAGTCTTTTAAGACTAAAATAAGAGTTCACACTGTCATTGTTACACTGTCACTCAACACATTGTCACATTATAATTGACACACTACCACCGCCACACGTCCATTCGTCGCCGCCGGCGACTCGAGTGCTGCTGCAGATCGCCGAAGGTTGACTAATCACACTCACATATTACATTGTCATCACTTTTCTATTAGACTGCCAACACGTATTCTTAGACTACAATTCATTATACTCTTATTTTGATTTTAAAAGATTTAATATTTTTAGTTTGATATTTTCATACTTTTTTACTCTTATTTATGTATATTTTTTTTATAATTAATATTGATGTTCAATTTCTAATAGCTGTGTTGAGATAATTATACTAAGCATAGAACGTCTACAAGTAAGATACATATGTTTTACCATTTATTATTAATCTATAATTAAAATCTAATTTAATCCTTTATTATAATAAAGGAGACTCGGATGCACGAGAATGCGACATTTGGCATGCCTATTTGGCAAAAAATGGAACACATCAGCAAGCCACGTAATCCTTTATCCTTTATATATAATATTTGAGAGTTGAACTCTCAGAATTGCGACATTTGGCGTGCTGACTGGAACTTTTTTTGACACTTCATCAGCCACGGCATCAAAATCAACTTCCTCAATATTTCAAACGAGTTGGGCTTCTAGAATTGTGACATGTGGCGTGCTTATTAAACAACTTTTTTAACATATCAGCATGCCATGTTAGCAAGTAATGTTTAAAAAATAGTTAACAAAAAAACTTATTATACGAAAATTAAATTTCATATTTATTACACACAAATTTCTCCATATAATCGCGTTTAAAAATTTTTATATTTTCATTCATTATTAAAAAACATTTAAATTAAATAGTATATTTTGAAATTTAAAAAAACACCTATTCAAAAACTATAATCAAAACAAATAAATTTACTTTAAGAACAGATAGATTGGTAGAACTAAACGAAATTACATTTGATTTTTTTGCTTTGAATTAATACTAATTGGAGAGATTTTCTAATTATTTAAAAAAAAGAAACAAATATATAAAAGGAAATGAATTTTTATGGGCACGCTTATTTAATAGAGCATTAATTTTATTCCGTATATATAAAAAATTTTAAATCAAATAAAAAGTATGTTCCATTTTAAAATTAGTATTTTACATTTTAAAATTATTGTTTTCCATGTATATCTTTTTAAAAATTTACATGTAAAATGTGCTAATTATTTTGACATCTATGTCAAAATAATATAAGTAAGAAATATTCTTTCTTATTTATTCATTGAACCATTGACATCAATGTAACAAATATTAGTGGATAATAAAAAAATATATTTAAAGTTTTTAGATAAAAAATTATAATATTTATTGTATGATGCTTATTACAAATCAATTGAATAAAGATTCAAAACATCTAAAGTTTTCAATTTATTGCATAAAAGAAAAAGTTTAATTGCCTCTTCTAAGGAGAACCATATGATTTGCTCTATAATTTATTTTGTGGTCTTGGTGTGAAGAGTTCCCATTACCATGAAAAATTTAAATAAATACAACTGTATGTTTTCATTAACATCTATAAATGGAAATATTGATACATCTTAAAATAATGGTTGAGCAATAATGTACTCTCAGCGGACACATCCATCATCATCACATACCATGTTTAATGTCACAATATGGTGAAAGACCAAAATTTACGCAATTGTATATTTATGGTATACAGAACGAGATTTGAAAACAAATAACTCATTTTAGACATCTCGAATACGTTATTGAGTACACCCTTTTAATAAAAGTCTTATTTACATGTGTTTGACAATATAATACACATGGTACATTATTAGCATGCTAATAAAAACAAATTGTTCTATTTGTTTCGCACAGTAGGGAGAATAATTCTTTGACTACTGATAAAAGTTTGGTCAAAGATTTGAAAAATATGGTAGATGAGCATAATGTTTTAACACATATATTTAGAAGAACTAAAGACTTCATGGAAAATGAGCCTACTTATAATGTATCATTGAGGCTGTTGATAAGTAAGACTTAATATATAATGAGCCTACTTCTAATGTATCATTGAGGTTGTTGACAAGTAAAACTAGAGACTCAAGAAATTATAATATCTCCACAATACATGAAGCTGGTGCTCTAATAGTTAAATATCTTGATTCTTAACACAAGTTATCCCTCAAGCATATAGTAAACTTCACTTATCCGAATTTATTGGTGAACATAAAAAACTATTATATTCTTTTTTTTTAAGATAATGCACTATTGGCACCCGTGCTCGAAGTTATTGAATGGTAATGAATTTGTCTCATCCTTTATTACATGAGGTGAAAAGTAGTACTTAATTTCTTATTCTTCATGCCATCAAGTTTGGAAAAAAGACATTTTTGAGTACATTTTCAATCCTCAAATATTATTTATTCTACCTTGGTGTTTTTGTCCAATGATAAAAAATCGTGTTAGAAATATATTTACTTGATCCGGAAAATATATTGCATTAAAAAAAATCAGAATCGACAAAAATTTCGTCGACCCCGTGCATCGCACGGGTGAAAATACTACTCCCTCCGTCCCAATTTATAATGCATGTTTACTATTCACAGGGTCAAATTTCATTCACTTTTTTTCTCAATTTTCGTTAGCAATTTGATAAAATAAAATATTGTTGTCACTACTAGTTTTGTAGATCTTTTGATGTAGTATTTTGATATGTAATTTTTATTTTTTAACTCTATACCATTTGTCATATAAAATGATTTGAAAATAACTTCAGTCAAACATCGTAAACCGAAACAGACATTATAAAATGGGACGGAGGGAGTAGTTTTTCTAAATTTGACACTATGTTTTCACCATATTTTTAAAAATTTATAATAATTGCGACATTTACTATCCCACCTCCAGATATCCTTCTGCCACGCTTCCATTCTGTTTTCCCAATCTTTCTCCTTTCCACCTTTTTCCTTCCCAAACTTCCACACCCCCCCCCCATCTCTCTCTCTAGAGAAAACTGACTTGATGACTGGCGGCGGCGAGGACTGGGTGGGCGCGGCCATGGCCGACGACTCTATGGTGGTGGAGCTTCTGTTGGGGCTCAGTCGCCGGAACGGAAACAGGAGCCCGATTTTGCCGCTGAAATGGAGGGCCCGCCAGCGCCGATCGAAGCCGGCCGCCTCCAAAAACGCCGCCGCGAGAGCGAGTCCGAACACCCCGTTGTCCTGGAGCGGCGGTACCACCGGAAGCGGCGGCGGATGCGACGGTGCTAACGAGGAATCCAGCAGCCGTCCTCCTCCCTCTGCTCCAGAACTCGACCGTGTCGCGAGATCTAAGGTTCGTTACTCCGTACACGTCACTTCTCTGATGCACTTTTTTTGTCTGCGTTTTTTGAAATTTGCGCACGGCGGCGGTTTGCTCGCCGGAGATTATGTATCCGCCGTCGTTATCATCCAAGTCGCGTGTCCTCCTGTTCATTCCGCCGGGATGACGAATCTACCCCTGAGAAACTCGGTTATTTTCGAGGGGTCGCCAATTGGCAGTTAGTTAGAATATCGGACGCTTTTCAGCTTCCACCGTTCCCACTTCACGAACTGCCGACAACACACTCCGCCTTTTTCGCGGATCTGTTACGGCGGAGGCAGCGGCGATTCTATCTCCGGCGCCGCCGTCGGGGGTCCTGAAACTCAATTCCAGACATTTTTGTTGACGGAGAAATGCCCCGCCGCGCGTTTCCTTAGACTTTCCATTAATTAATTTACAATATTTCTCAGATGCTTCTTTGCTTTATCTGTAATTTTGTTCCTTTTTTTTTTGTATTTTTCGAATAAAAGGGGAAAATAAAGAGGGCAGTGAGCGACTTTTGTCATCACGTTTTCTTTCATGCTTTCTCTCCCCTTTGCCGTGACCCCTCACTATCCCTTCGTGCGCCTACGTGGCATTCCGCGAAATGACCAAACCACCCTCGAGGCCAGCATTGTAATTTCCACCACCGTACAAGAATGCAACACGATCTGAATCAGTGGAAGCCTTGTCGAATGTTTGTAGTCGTAAATATACTCTGTAAATAATTACAGTAATTAACCACTCCCCCAATGCAGTAATATTCTTTTTTCGACTTTTAAAAAACTACGGAGTAATTTTTACTTATTTTATTTCCTTTTCTAATGCTCAATGATAAATTATTATTATTATTATTATTATTATTACTACTACTCCGGTATTATTATTATTATTATTATTATTATTATTGTCTAACAAAATATATACTCGGAGTAACTCACAAGATTTCTTGTTCACCTAAACAAATTTTAATTGTATATATTCCGGGTATTTTTCTACTTTTTTAAATTTTGTAAAAATTAGATGGATATTTTTTTTGGAGCATGCTACATGTACCTCAAAATTTGTACTTCATTTGTACATTAAAGGTACGCACTAATATTTTGATGGTTTACACTGACATAAAGTGTTGGTACGTTAACAAAAATTTATACTGACACAAAGTATTGGTGCGTTAACAAAAAATAGCATTATACCAACATAAAATATTGACGCATCCGTGTACAAAATGAGGTACATAACTTTGGGGCAGAAATAGCATTACCCAAATTTTTGGGGGAGGGATGAATTTTAAATGAATAAATTTAACAGTCAACTTTATGACAAAAAAGTAGGGACGTTTAGGTCAAACTAACTTCCATGGCTTGTTGTGGTCTAGACGTCGTCGTTTAAGCGGAATTTTCAGATGAGAATTTGGTGAAGTGTGGGTTAGTGGGGGAGTGGTTCCGCACCACAAAATGATTGGTGGATGGCAAGAAAATGGTAATTATAAATTACTACTCCGTATGTAATTCCACCAATTCAGGGGAATTATCCTATGTTCATTTTAGCTTCCCAATTCCCAACTTTTTTTCTGCACAATAATGTTAAGTTAAATTGGGCAGAACAATTAACAAATGCTTTGTTTGAGTGAAGACAGCCATTGGGTTTGTGATTCATACGCCTTACATTTTTTTAATGGGAAAATCTTGATTTTTTTTGTTTTTCTTCATATTTTTTTCGGCATGATTGAGTGATTGGATTCTTAACCAAACCCAATATGCACAAAAGTGATGTATGTGCACATTTATTCAGTACACAATTTTTATATCAATTCATTGTTAAGTTTTCTGCATTTTATTGTTTAGAACATTTTTAATCCATAAGAAAATTAGGGGAGAGGTTCATGTGACATTGAACCCCAATACCATACCCTATACAAGAACTGTCACAATTTCAAACGAAGTACGGTAAGCACCTTGATACATCCCATGACATTGATTCCAATTCTGAAAATGGCCACACATATTTATTTTATATATTCAAAGTGTTCGTATGATAAACTTACTATGGAATAGAAATATACATTTGCGAATTACATACTCCATCCGTTCTAAAAAGAACATCACAATTTATTTTCAAAACTTACGTGAACTTTTGTTTATTTCTAAATTTTCATTAATTTTTTTGCTAAAATATACTACTTCCGTCTCAGAGTATTTATCCACTTTCATTTTTACACACCATCCAATACACTTCTTTAATCCATTTTATCTTGTAATTTGTATATTAAAAAATTATAGAAATTATATATTAATAATCTATATGTTAAGACAAATTAAACAAGATCACACATGACTATATTTAAGCTTACACATTGAGAGAATTTGATGAGTCAAAATGCTTAGATGAATAGTTTCAAAAGTCAAAACTAGACGAATACTCCGTGACGGAGGGAGTAATATTCTTATCTCTTCTTATTTTGTAGAATTTTTTTATATCTTTTTTAATATGTGAGTTTTAACTTTTATTTTTATACAATATTTTAAACAAAATAAATGAATCGAAAAAATTAAAAAATTTACTACGTTTGCATAATGTGATTTCCTTTTTGGGTCCAAAGGAATAACATTCATTGAATGTTTATAAAATAAGGTATCTTTTGATGCACAGTAGAATAGTGCTCCATATAATTCGACAATGGTGGTTTATTTCAAGAGGGCCTGACAAACAGTTGCATATGGTGTATGTGAGGAGTGAGTGAAAACGCACGCGCACAGACCCAATGGATTGCGTGATTTGCGTTTTAGGTTGCAGACATTTTTAGTGTTTACTAATTTTAGGTAATTAATTAGCCCTATAAATGTTGAGTCATTCCACGACTCTCCTACTTACCCAGTTACCCCTCCTCTTTAATACTCCGTTTTTTCTATATTTCATGTTAAGTGTCCATTATAATTTTATGGATATATTTAAAAATAAATAAACATATATGCTATGCTTGTATATTCTTTCTTTATATATTCTTTAATTAATTATTTAATAAAATAAAATACTTTATAGTTAAATTAACTTTACATGTAGCATATTTTTAATTTAATCTTAAGATTTATACTTCTATATTTATAATCTTTTTTTACCAATTTCACACAAATTGTGTATTGAAAATACCTTAGGGAAAAAGACAAAATTGGATGTAAAAATAGAGAAAGTACCAAAATACTCTGTAGGTGTTTTATGTTTTTATCTTCAAACTAGGTGTTACAATGTTAATATGTCACATGTCAACATATAACATCAAAAATAGTACTACCTCCGTTCCTAAGTATTTGTCATGTTTTGATTTTTTTCGATTAACTATTTTTAACCTTTGACTTATAATTAAATAAAATATATATTGTATATTAATTCGATAAAATAATATTTTGGAAATATTTCATATAATAAATCTAACAAAATTATTTTTGTATCAATATCTAATATCATTTTTATTTAATTTAAAGTCAAAGTTTACCAATTTTGGTAGAAAAAAGTAAAAAATGAACAAATACTCAGAGACAAAGGGAGTATGTAATACTGATATAGTATGCCAAATTGCTAAATGGCAATAATCTTACTTTGGGGTTAAAAACATAAAATTTCTATTTTAATATTTTCTCTGTATTTTACTCCTAACTTGGTAGAATTTTTAATAATTTAAAAAAATTCATCCTAAATAGGAGTAAAACATAGAGTAAGTATCAAAATATAGCTCCATGTTTTATGCCCTAAATAAGAACTCACACTCTAGTAATGTGGCGCTGTAATTGTACATTTCACTTTATTTTTTGGTAATGTATATTATCATGATTAGCATTATAAATGCATTTTAACTTCTATTTCATTAATTAAAACATAGAACTCATATTTTAGTATATTTGCAATGTTTTACTCTTACTTTAGTTTTTTTTCTTATATGGAGTTGTATTTGGGTGGTGAAAACTACTCATGTCCGTTGGGTGAAAACTACTCATGTCCGTCGGCTGTAAGTGGCAAAGATGATGATGCTATGTGTGGTCATACGAAAATGGATATGATTTGGAACGAGGCCACTCGAGGAAGGGTGATAGTGGTACTTGTGGAGGATAAGTTGTGAGAAACTAAGTTGAGATGGTTTGGGCACAAAAGAAGGTGAAGTGCATAGGATCTAGTGAGAAGATGTGAAAAGCTTGCAATAGTGAATGTTGGTAGGGTAGGGGTAGACCTAAGGTGAATGAGAAATAAATGATTAAACAAGTCTTAAGATTTCAAGATTGGAGGTATGATCTTTACATAGGAACATTTGGAAAGCTAGAATTAAAGTAATCGGGTCGAATTTTAGGCCTTATTTTGTACCTTGTGCTTATGTCCTATCATTGTTTTTGTGCATAGGGTCTAATTGCAAGTGTTAGTATGTGTTTTTCTTGTGTTTGTGTTCTTACTTTTTTTTCATGCTTGTGTTTGAGCCATGTGTCTCTCGGAAACAGCACTTTATAATTCCAAGTAGGGATAAAATCTGCATACACACATCCTCCCCAAAACTCTTCCTTATAAACCGATATAAATAAGCTTCTTTATACCTTATACTCTGTACATGTGTATATTCAACTGGAAATGAGTCTTGCTCTTAAAATTGTTACTGAGAATATTAGCTACACAATTATTTTTCATAAAAAGAAGAATGGTATCTATATTTTGGGGCACCAAATTAAGGTAAGTGAGAACCTTAAATTGGAACAGGATGTTACGGATAGATGCTATCCCACACCAGTCAGGGGGGGATGCTGGTGAGGGGCTTATATAGTGTGAGATTCTCCCGCCTTAATAGCTTTTGAGGTGTGGCTCTCTCTAGTGTTGTATCACAGAAGAAGTAATTATTTGTTATCTGCTCTATTTACTTCACTGCATTTTTAGCCTATATGGTAATATTATTTTTTCTTTTCTTCTTTTGCTTTAAGGTAAATGAGACAAGTGAGAAAACTGCAATTAGGAGATGTTCAAGAAGGAAAAGGGTAAGCCCTTTGATTACTGTAATTACCTTTACAATAATGTATAATACAAGAGATTTCTGTCATATGCCTATTTGAAATTTTTTTGTTTTGTTTTAGGGAACATATTTTGTATTGTAGAGTTTACTGCAGCTTCTAAAGTTGGCTATAATACTGTTAATTTTTTTTTTATTACTTCAATTAATAGACATTGGCTGAGCTAAAAAATGATGAGGCCATGCTATTGAAGGAAAGAAAACAGCTGAAGAAGGTAATAATCTTCACTTTATTAACATTTTTAATTTTAATGCTTGGTGATTTTAATTAAAAATGATATGTAATCATGAGTGACTTTCAAAGACATTTCATCTTAATTATGTGCAGGAATTAGCAAAGTTACGTGTCAACTTCGAGACGCTAAGGGCTATAAATGAAAATTTGAAGAGAATAAAGGTAGTGATATTTCTTCTATCTAAAGTGTACTCTTCAGTCTCATAGCCTTAACTAGGGGTTGACAATACCCCAAGGTTAAGAACCGGTACCGGAACCGGCTTTCCGAAACCAGACCGGTGGGGCGGGTGAATCGTAATGGAACTGAGGTGGGGGGAAGGAATCTGGTTCTAACATTTTGGAACCAGCGGTTCCGGTTTTGGAATCGGACTGGTATGCCTACTGTTAAGTCACAAGTATTAACACTAAGCCCTTGTTTGCATAGTTCTTGATGTGATTTGGGTACACCTCTAAGTTGTTGTTCGTATTTCCAGATCGATTTGGTCCAAATTCAGCAAAAACCAGAGGCACGCCACGAGGATAAGGTTGCCCTTCCGGACCTAAACCTTCCCTTTGAAGAGGATCCTACCCTATGATCCATACTATCTACATAAAGCAGCATTATTACACTTATATATAGGTAATAATAAGTGCTAACCTTGTTGTAGGGAGGATTATTATTGTAACTCTTACAAGTAAGCCTTCACTTTCCATGCATAACAAATGGAAGTGGGGGTGTTAAGCTAAGGGTATTTAGGAATCAGAGACCCTTAGCTAGGTCACATACATTCTTTCTTTTTAAATTCTTTAGGGTGGGGTGGGGGAGAGACCCATAGTTTCTGAAGTTGTTATTCCTGGAAATTTTCATAGATGAGTATAATGTAAGTAGAGAGTATTTATAATAGTGATCTGCAAATGGATTCCTGAAGCTTTTAGCATTTTTAGCACAGTCTTTTTGTTGGTCTCTCATTGCCACCCCATTTTGAGCGTTCATTACTTGTGGAGAGGGCAAATTTGGCATTGCAGTTGTTAAGTTTGTTTGGTATACAATCAGGGCCAGCTTTGAGGGTGTGTCAAACGTGCACTTCCATAGGGCTTCATCATTTTTTAGAGTATTTTTCTTCTTCAAAGTTTCGAAATTGATGATTTTTTGACATGTCAAGAATGATTGATTTTTACAGTAATTTCTTGAACACTAAGGGGGCGTTTGGTTAGGGGTAAGGGAATCAGGAAACGGAATGAGATTCTCTGATTCCTTTTGTTATTGTTTGTTTGAAAAAAAAATCATTCCCTTTCCCTACTTTTAGGTTTTCTATTATCCAATTTAGGCTTTTTCCCATTCCCCTCTACATGTCCCGGTTTCTGATTCCCATTCCCCTTCCCCAAACCTTCCACATTCCTCATCCCTGCGACTCCCCCCTCCGTTTCTTCTCACCGCCACACACCTCGCCGGCCGCCGCTGCAACTCCATCTCAGGTATGTTCTCCCCCTTCCAGCTCGGTTTCCTTACACTTCGTTTCCTCTCCTCCCCTCCACTCGAAACCCCTAAATTTTTTTTACAAATTGAAGTTGTTTTTTTTGGTTTTACAATTCAAAATTTTTTACAAATTGAAGTTTCTTTATGTGTTCTTTTTACAAATTTTTTACAATTTTTTCAAAATTTTTTCAGATTTTTTACAATTTTTTTTTACAAATTTTCTAGAATTCAATTTTTTTTACAGATTTTTTAAAAACTTTTTTTTACAGGTTTGTTACAAATTTTTTTTACAAATTTTTTGTGAGGTGTGAATTTTGTTTAATTGTATGTTTGATAAAATTAATAAGTATTATTTTTAACAAGTTAATCATAGTTATGTAAAAAAATTTGATTTCCCTGCTTTGAACCAAACACGAATAAGGGAACTATGTTCCCTTTCCTATACTGAACCAAACAGACAGAGTAATTCAGGAGTAATCATTCTCATCCCCTGATTCTCTTTCCTGTTTCCTTTCCCTTTCCTCAGCGTGAACCAAACGCCCCTCAAAAGTCCCCAGAGACTTTGGAATTTGTTGCTCGTTTACCTGTCATTTTAATTAATTTTTTTGGAGGGTTTAGAGACATTAATATCCGAAAAAAAGAGACTTGGGCACTAAATTTGAGTGGGAAGAAGTGTTCTTTAAGTTGAATATTGAACTTAAAGTAGGGAGTATATTTTTACATTTGAACTCTCCTAAAATTTGAAGTTTTGAACATATTATCATTAAAAGACAACTCTAAAATTAAACATATTGAACTTAAAGTAAGGAGTATATTTTTACATTTGAACATAAGATCACGAAAAAACAACTCTAAAATTAAATTATATTTAATTCATCCATAGCTATATTTCAAAAAAAAACTACTCCAGAAATACAAATTCATTCTCTTCATTTTTTAAAAAAATTTTTAGCAAATCAATTACTTTAATTGAACCTAAAACAAAATAATTGGATATGTATAATAAATAAGTATATCACAAAATAGGAAACCAAAAACCCAAATTACTTGGAGAAAATAAACTATGTATGGTAGGGGTGGACACGGTACGATTCCGGTACGGTTCCGGTTCCGGAACCGCCGGTTCTGGTACCGCCACCCCATGTCACCGGAACCGTCACCGTGCCGGCCGGTACCGGTTCCGGTTCCCGGACCGCGGTTCCGGTACCGGACCGGCCGGTTTCGGCCCCCCTCCTATATTTTTTTTTTTGCTTTTTTTTTTAAATTTTTAAAGTATAAAATTGTAAATTTGCAATTGTTTAAGGAAAGAATGAAATAAAAAATCTAAAAATGTAGTTGTTATTTAAATATTTTAAATGAATAATACACTAACTGAAGAACAACCACATTTAATATCCTGACGGTTCAAAAAAAGCGACGAGATAAAGAACCGTAAAGAAACCCTCGAAGGAGCTTATATATCGCTCACCTAAAAAAACTAATTACATATCTACATTAACATAAAAAAATTGTAACTTATTCTTCAGAACTCGGGCTTCCATCTGTTGTTGCATTCATGTAATGCTCCGATTCGAGTAGGTACGATGACTCTTGAGCTCGACGTCTTGCCAAGAGCCAATCTTGGTTGCAAACCAGTGTTTCAAGAGATTCAGCGCTAAGACAACTTCGAAAGTCGGTTAGAATGTTGCCGCTAGCACTGAATTCTCGTTCAACTGCTACGGTTGATACCAGAACGGATAACACTTGTCTTGCTAGCATGCCGAGACATGGGAACATGTGTTCGTTCCGCTTCCACCATCCGAGGACATCAAAATCCACGTCGTCGTCATCGTAATCGCATGGCACACCCTGGTACATAGCAAGTTCGTTGTGCGAGCTTACTGTTGTACCACTTGAACTCGTCGAAGAATGAGCACGCTTCCCTTTCTTTGCAAGAAGACCACCGACTATTCCGGCAAAACCTTTTTTTGATTTCGGAGGCGGAGGTGGTGCTGCTTCTTCTTGTACAGTGCCGTATAACCCCTGATATTCCTCAAACAAATTCTCAAAAAAAGTTACAGCATTATCTCTTTCTTTTTTCCATTCTACTAAATAACTGTAGTAATAACTATTTTCATCTAAAAAACAACTGTAGTAATACTCAATTAAAATT